TGATTCTACAAATCCCTGTTAGCACCTTCATTCTCCATCTCTCTTATCATGGACATGTTTTTTTTAATTTCTGATCTACACAACAATTCAGTCTTTATCACTGTCTTGTAGATTTTCCCTTCAATTATTTTAACTTCTGTTAATTTTTATAAATATAAGGAACACATGCAACAAAATAAATAATTTGAGAGTGAGATTAAATAGAGAGGGCAGTTTAATAACACTGAAATAAAAGCAGATTAAAGGGACCAACAATAAATTTGATTATTTTCTGATAGATAGCATTAATATATTGTGGGCACTGCAAAGGGTGGGGGGAAAGGTTACTTACTGTTTAAAAAAGATGTATACAGGCCAAGTTAGGTGTTGTGCTCCCTCCCCCAATTATGGTATTAGTATCAGGGGGTTCAATCTTGTCAAAAACCCTCAAATGCTTTTAAAAAAATTGGTCTTTAACTGAAGTGAACTGAAGTATAATGGCAGACAAGGTTCCTTGGGTGAATTTGATATCTTTTATTAGACCAACTCAAATAATAAAATATATCAAATTCACCCAAGGAACCTTGTTTGCCTATGTCCTTAGACCAACACGGCTACAACCCAAACCCCTGAAGTATAATGGGCACATCTACATGTGTGCTTTAATGTGCCATTGGTCTATGTTAATGCACATTAAAGCATCACAAAAAACCTGTGCGTGTTGACTAATGCACATTAAAATAGGCTAATGCACCTTCTTCTAATACCTCACAATAGAAGTACTAAATTTAATGTGCATTAGCAAAGCGCATTAATGTGTAGGCATGCACACTGAATCTTTTCCCTCGGTGCTTCTTAGATAATTCTTTTTTAACATCTGCTTAACTTCAACACTATTTAAGAGGGCCAAAAGTGAAATTAGCAGCCTCTGTCAAGTTTATTTTTCTGAGCAGTTTTGATGACAATTCCGGTTGTTCACAGTATTACAGGAAAAATAGGGTAGGTGAATTTGTTCACTCTTACAAGCCTTACCTTCTCTCTTGTGAAAAAAAAATCTAAACTCCTTTTATAAAGGAAAAACAGCACAAAATGAATGCATCCTCCAATTTGCCTAACTTTGTTTACAAAAGAATAAAGATAACTGAAGACAGCAATAGTTGTCTGTGGCTCTGAGGGCTGTGCTAATTAAAGCGCCCAGAGCGTCACGTGTATCAGTGTCCCCACTGAAAAATGGTGGTGGAGCGCTTTGACCTAAAACTCATTGGATGGGCTTTAAAGTGTCCCACTGCCATTTTTCAGCACAGGGACACTGATACACGTGATGCTGGAGTCTGGTGGCGCATGGTAATTACCACGCACCAGCAGACTTGCTTAATTGAGTCTACTCCCATGTGCTGTAATGACAGTGCCTCGAAGCAGCCTCCCTGCATGTGTACAGGAGCCCACAGTGTCCAAAACAACCAGCAGGCTGAGCAGGGCGTTTCTGGAAGCTGGGAAGTTCAGCAGTGGTAACCAATAGGAAAATGCTGAGAACCAGGGTGAGTCTTTATATAATTCCACCCCTGAAACACCTCTCTCAGGGCTGCAGGGTAGGGCCTTCAACCTCTTGGGAGCCAGACTTGAACTCTCTCCTGTGGATAGGTCCCTATAGCTTTTCAAACAACTGAGCATGGCTGATAGGGAAGTGTTCTAGACACTTGACTGAAGTGGGAGACCCAGGTTCACTTTTGTCTCCTTCCTGAAGGAATTTAACCTACTTATTCAAGCAGAATGTCTTAGGAGGTTTTAGACAATCAATGTGTCGAGATAAGAGCACCCCCCTTTTCTGCTGAGGTTGTACGATTGTGCAGAAAGGAAATCAAGATTTTATTTAATCTTCAGTTAATGTAGTAGTTTATTTATAACTTTTGCTAAAACAATATAGTATAACGAAAAATACAAATTATATATGAAATTAAAAAATATTTATACTTTACAATTTTTGCTAAAAGCATAGAAAGTACAATCTTATTGTATCAGTTTAAGCAAAATTTAAAACAGAACATGGTATATGATGATACAAAATACATCAAATGAAGCAGTGGGCAGTAAAGTAAAATAGGGGAATTCGATTTGATTTTGGCCTTCATTTTTTGTGCAATACAAACGCACCTATAGGAGTATAGGACAGGCTGTGCTTCAATTAACAGAAAATACAAAAATAGCCCTTGGTGCAGGGACTGGAACTTGAGACACTACCCGCCCATAGTATGTGCCATAAGTTAGTCATGCTCCCTCATATTTGCTCTTTCTGGACTAATGACTCTTAATCAAGTTTAAAGCCCTTAGGAACACATTGTTTAAACTGAAGGAAATATGAGGGTTGTTTCATTTTTTGGCTTCATTACCTTCTTGTTTCTAATTTGGTTAAACTCATCCAAATTCATCGTATATTTTCTTTCACAAAACGAGAACATTTTATATCAATACCTTTTCTCAGAGAAAATCTCTTTCACTTTATGGGTGAGAAATTTAATTTTTTGTGGTATCAATATGAGTTAGTGGTAAGCTGTGGTGTTGATACTGATATAGCAAACTGTTCTGTTTACAAGATGGAAAGAATGTCAGATGCAAATAATAAGGAAGAGCATACAAGACTGCGCTATTCTTGTCCCAAACAGTTCCAGACATCCTTTACTGTAGTTTGAAGGATTGGGCCTCCTATGCTTTAATTAAAAATACAAAATACATCGGGTAACCTTTAAAGGTAAGAATGAACAGGTACAAAGGAGGATAATAAAGGGGCCAGAATGTTAATAATTTAAAGGA